CGTTAAAAAATAAAATTAAAAAAATAATTAAAATATATAGATGTGTGTTATTTCGTTCTAACTGTTTTGTGAAATTAATCTCTCTCTCTCTCTCTCTCTCTCTCTCTCTCTCTCTCTCTCTCTCTCTCTCTCTCTCTCTCTCTCTCTCTCTCTCTCTCTCTCTCTCTCTCTCACGTAGAACGAAATAATATATATATACATATATCACTATATATATACCTATATATAAATAAAAATATTTAAAAAAAATTATATAGATATATATATACACATACATATATATATATACATATATTAATTCTACATATATATTTATGTAATATTTTTACATAATTAGGTATCTTAATTAATTACAATTAGCGGGATCTGCCTGACAACCCATGCCGAAAGTAAAGGGAATTTAATTTGCTAGCACTATATTTAACCCTATAACTTTCCAAGACACCATGAAACCTGTACATGGGGGGTACTGTTCTACTCGGGAGACTTCGCTGAACACAAATATTAGTGTTTCAAAACAGTAAAATGTATTACAACGATGATATCGCCAGTAAAAGTTTTTTGCATTTTTCACGCACAAACAGCATTACACGGACAATATTATTGCTGTGATACTTTTTACTGTTTTGAAACACAAATATTTGTGTTCAGCGAAGTCTCCTGAGTACAACAGTACCCCTCATGTACAGGTTTTATGGTGTTTTCAAAAGTTACAGTGTCAAATATAAGGCTTGTGTTTCATTTTTTTCACATTAAAATTCGCCAGATTGGTTACGTTGCCTTTGAGACCCTATGGTAGCCCAAGAATGAAAATTACCCCTATGATGGCATACCATTTGCAATAGTAGACAACCCAAGGTATTGCAAACAGGGTATGTCCAGTCTTTTTTAGTAGCCACTTAGTCACAAACACTGGCCAAAATTGGCGTTTTTTGCATTTTTCACACACAAACAAATACTAACGCTAACTTTGGCCAGTGTTTGTGACCAAATGGCTACTAAAAAAGACTGGACATACCCCATTTGCAATACCTTGGGTTGTCTACTATTGCAAATGGTATGCCATTATGGGTGTAAATTTCATTCCCGGGCTACTATACAGTCTCAAAGGCAACGTAACCAATCTGGCAAATTTCTATTTCAAATGTAACGTGCTATATTTGACCCTGTAACTTCCCAAAACGCCATAAAACCTGTACATAGGGGGTACTGTCTTACACGTGAGACTTTACTGAATATAAATATGTGTATTTTATTGCAGTAAAAGCAAACAGTATTATGACATTGACCGTTAAAATGTCATGTAGAACAAAAAAAATCCAAAAAAAACGTATTTTCGCCCATTTTTTTCATATTAAATTATGTTTCATAGCTAAATATTTGATATTAAATGAAAGCCCTGTTTCCCCTGAATAAAATGATATATAATAAGGGTGGGTGCATTTACTATGAAAGAGGTGTATTACGGTTGGACAGACATGTAGCGCAAATGCCAGGTTTTGTTTACATTTTGTTTTGTTCACAATGTGTACATTTGGCTCCGTCCTTAAGGGGTTAATGCCTATTTGGCTCTATATTTATTCAGGATATTTCAAACATTTGAATGCCAGGAGGTTGCTGACCTTGCAGCCTCTAGGGTAAATTAACTTGTCTGAACAGATTTTATGACAATATCCTATTGATTACTTGTTTGGCTTTTTTGAAATCTTCTAAGGTTTATGCAGCTCAATAATGGTTTTATCGCGATTAGCTGTTTTTGAACTCTGTCCCTCTCTCGAGATATACTGCTTGGGTATTCCCCATGAGTAAATGCTGCCATGATTGATCAGGAATAAGGAAAATTGTTTCATACTTATCATAATTTTCTTTTCCTGATCATTATTCATGGCAGCATTACGTTCCCACCCATATACTATAAGAGTTGTGAAACTAGTTACAAAGACTGCCTGATGGGAAGGAGGATGATCTTTTTATACCAGTTTCAGAATTCTATTTCCTGTCATTTCTGCTGTGAGGGGAGGAGCTAACCCATGAGTAAATTATGCCATGAATAATGATCAGGAAAAGAAAATTACGGTAAGTATGAAACAATTTTCCTTATTATTCATTACAAATTATTTACTAATTGATTTTATTAGGACAGTTTTTGCTCCTTTGCTCTCTATATCCTATTTTCACAAAGGGTTAATCCCTCCACTCTGTCCTCAAGATATAGACTAAATATATTAGCAGCTTCCAATAACTATTTTTTTTCTCCATCCGTATATAGTTTTGGTGCATTTTGCCAATAGGTTTTTGTAATTCTTTAGTTCCAGAAGATGTCTGAGTTTTATATTTTTCTCCTTGTTCTTGGATAAATATTCAGAAATGAAACCCTTGATTCTCAGATAATTGAAGGTTTCATTCATGGAGATGTTGAATTCCTCCATGATTTGCCTAAGGGTTTAATTTTTCAGGTGTCTCTTTTTTTTATATTTTCCAGCATGTCTGAAATCATAGAGAATGGAAACACCTCTATTATTCTATTTCTAAATCCTATACAGGGAGTGCAGAATTATTAGGCAAGTTGTATTTTTGAGGATTAATTTTATTATTGAACAACAACCATGTTCTCAATGAACCCAAAAAACTCATTAATATCAAAGCTGAATATTTTTGGAAGTAGTTTTTAGTTTGTTTTTAGTTATAGCTATGTTAGGGGGATATCTGTGTGTGCAGGTGACTATTACTGTGCATAATTATTAGGCAACTTAACAAAAAACAAATATATACCCATTTCAATTATTTATTATTACCAGTGAAACCAATATAACTTCTCAACATTCACAAATATACATTTCTGACATTCAAAAACAAAACAAAAACAAATCAGTGACCAATATAGCCACCTTTCTTTGCAAGGACACTCAAAAGCCTGCCATCCATGGATTCTGTCAGTGTTTTGATCTGTTCACCATCAACATTGCGTGCAGCAGCAACCACAGCCTCCCAGACACTGTTCAGAGAGGTGTACTGTTTTCCCTCCTTGTAAATCTCACATTTGATGATGGACCACAGGTTCTCAATGGGGTTCAGATCAGGTGAACAAGGAGGCCATGTCATTAGATTTTCTTCTTTTATACCCTTTCTTGCCAGCCACGCTGTGGAGTACTTGGACGCGTGTGATGGAGCATTGTCCTGCCTGAAAATCATGTTTTTCTTGAAGGATGCAGACTTCTTCCTGTACCACTGCTTGAATAAGGTGTCTTCCAGGAACTGGGAGTTGAGCTTGACTCCATCCTCAACCCGAAAAGGCCCCACAAGCTCATCTTTGAGGATACCAGCCCAAACCAGTACTCCACCTCCACCTTGCTGGCGTCTGAGTCGGACTGGAGCTCTCTGCCCTTTACCAATCCAGCCACGGGCCCATCCATCTGGCCCATCAAGACTCACTCTCATTTCATCAGTCCATAAAACCTTAGAAAAATCAGTCTTGAGATATTTCTTGGCCCAGTCTTGACGTTTCAGCTTGTGTGTCTTGTTCAGTGGTGGTCGTCTTTCAGCCTTTCTTACCTTGGCCATGTCTCTGAGTATTGCACACCTTGTGCTTTTGGGCACTCCAGTGATGTTGCAGCTCTGAAATATGGCCAAACTGGTGGCAAGTGGCATCGTGGCAGCTGCACGCTTGACTTTTCTCAGTTCATGGGCAGTTATTTTGCGCCTTGGTTTTTCCACACGCTTCTTGCGACCCTGTTGACTATTTTGAATGAAACGCTTGATTGTTCGATGATCACGCTTCAGAAGCTTTGCAATTTTAAGAGTGCTGCATCCCTCTGCAAGATAGCTCACTATTTTTGACTTTTCTGAGCCTGTCAAGTCCTTCTTTTGACCCATTTTGCCAAAGGAAAGGAAGTTGCCTAATAATTATGCACACCTGATATAGGGTGTTGATGTCATTAGACCACACCCCTTCTCATTACAGAGATGCACATCACCTAATATGCTTAATTGGTAGTAGGCTTTCGAGCCTATACAGCTTGGAGTAAGACAACATGCATAAAGAGGATGATGTGGTCAAAATACTCATTTGCCTAATAATTCTGCACTCCCTGTATTAAATGTGATTTTTATCCCACCAGCTTGTTAGTTCTTTGAGTATCTGTGATTTGCTCCGTTCGTCTTCAATCACTTTTTTTTTTTGTTCAGATCTAAAACCCCAAACACTGAGGACAAATTGTTTACCCCTGTTTTTGTTTTGTTTTTTCCATATTGTACCAGGTTTCTTTGGTTGCCATATTATTTTGGGTGAGCAAAATGTGAAAGTCTGCTAGACAGGTAACATTGCATAATTTCTGGACACCCCAGACCTCCGTCTTCCTTTGACCTAGCTAGATCTTTTTTATTTATTTTTTCACCCTAGCTTTTTTGCCTCCCCATACAAATTTTCAGAACGATGAATGTAATAACACTAACCAATTTTCTGGGAAATTAAGAGGTATAATTTTCCATACGTATAGCCATTTTGGTAAAAAGTATGTTTTTAGAATATTAATTCTACCTGACCAGGAAAAGCCTTGTCCTTTCTGATCCTTTAGTTAAAAAAACAAAATAAAACACCCTCCACACAAACAGCAAGGAGAAATTTAGAAATAGAAAAACAGCTACATGATCAATTAATGGATAAGGCAGTCATGCAGTTAGAATCCCTACAATCAAAATGGTATTTGAATGGCAATAAACCAGAATCATTAATGACCAACAAACTCAAAAAAGAAAAACACAAAAGAACAATATATGAAATAAAGGATAAAGAAACTTATCTACTGACCCCACAAAAAATAGGAAAAGCCTTTTATAAATTAATGAAAGAGCAACTAAAAGGAGAACTTGTTAATATTTATAATTATATAATGAGAACAGGACATTGTCACCCAGCAGAGGGAAAGTCGCAGCAAACGGGCACACTGGACGGCTACCTCAGAACCCCGGCCAGACAAACACGTGCAACGCCGGGATCCAAGATGGCCAACGACCCGTCCGCAACACCGCGGACATCTGATGCGCATGGACCCTCCTTGGCAGATATAAGAGCCGACATCAGGGCCCTCACAGAAGTGATGGTCACAAAATCAGACCTCCAGGCGTTATCTGCCAATCTACATGTGGCGATTAGGTCAGAGGTGGCCACTCTACAGCGCGATATTGCAGCACAAGATGGCCACATACAAGCCCTAGAAGCCACGAATCAAACTGTAAACAGGTTAGAGGCTACTCATACAGCACTTACTAAACTGGGCACGATGCTTCTGCAACTGAGGAGACAGAAGATCTGGACAACAGAGGGCGCAGAGCAAACATGGATCCGCAATCTACCAGAGGCCCCAGGGGCAGAGGATGTAACAGCAACCCTCACTGCCCTATTCAGGGAAATCCTGGGACCGGACGCACCACACCGTTTTGACTTCGACCGGCACACAGAGCCCTGAGACCCTGAATGGAAGATGGCCCACCCAGAGACATTATATGTTGCCTTTATGAATACAGAATGAAAGAGCTCATCATGGCGTAAGCCAGAACCAAACAAACATGGCGGTTCGGAAGCTCAGAAATAGCCCTGTACCATGACCTGTCACCACTCACACGAGAGGCAAGAAAAGCCCTGAGACCAGTAACTCAGCTGCTGAGAAGCCGCAATATACCCTACAAATGGGGCTTTCCCTTTTGTTTAACGGCCAAACACAATGATGAGTGGAAATCCCTGCGCTGGCCTCATGAGGTGCCGACTTTCTTACAAACCATGGGCCTGCCACACACAGAGGTGGCAGATTGGGTCTTGGGCCCACTAGAGCAGAGAAACAACCCGCCAGCACCAAGAGCTCAGAGATGCCACAGAGAGGACTCGCCGCAAGGACACCAAGCCCGCAGACACCATCAACCAGCACAACATCAAGCACAGCCCGGAGAGCAATAGGCAACAGAAGACAACAGCCATAATGCAGTGCAATGGACGTGAAGGATCTCCCGCAGATGACAAAGGACATACAGATAAGTATAACTCATACCAAGGCCTATGTAAAGCCAATGACATTGACTCACATCCCCACGACACATACCCTGTCCCGACCACTCGCAGGTGGCAACACCACCAGACTAGGCCTACTACCACATGGACTAAAGATGGCAGACAAGCTACAGTTACACCTCAACGCATAGGACTATGGGGCTGGTACATCACCAAGGGAGACCGCCGCCAACTTAAATCCCTTGGAAACATCTGGGAACGACTGTAAATTGGGAAGGGGGGGAGAAAAAGGGTATACGAAGAGGGCAGGTGACTAAGTCATGCGCACGAAGTGCAACATTCAGACGGGGGGGAAAAGGTGATACAAGCAAGACACAAGAACACTGATTATAAGTGCAGGCTGATAGCCGATTGGCACCTACATAGGGGCTATGGGGGGGTAAAGGGGCACAGGTCGGGGAAACTGAAAGAGGTCATCACGCTGATCCGAACAGGCGAGGGGGACCCTGGAACAGGTGGAGGGGGGAGGGGGAGACAGGGAGGCAGTCGGGAACATGGGAGAGAGGGGAGGTGCGGGATATAAAATATTACCAAAAAAAATTAAATGACATAGTTATGCATTGTAGCAACTTGATAGGAATGGAAAGGGAAGATGGCAGGGGGGGAGGGAGCAAAATAGGCTGGGAAATCATTCAGCAGGACGTAATAAGGATGAGTATGCTCAGCACACATACCACAAACAACAAAGGCACTCACAACATGAAATGCCCCGACAGCATTAATACCCTTGCCACCCTAAAAAGGATCTAAGGGGAAGGCTAGCACAGCCTGGAAGTGGTGACAAACGAGATCGGGGCCACGCTCAGAGGTCTATAGAGACTCCATAGAGCACCCCCAAACCTCTTGAATACTACTGAAGACACTTAAGAACCCTTAACACAGAGCTAACCTGTGGCGTATACACCGTCACCCCTAGTGTTACACTCTCAAAACTGTAGAGGACTTAACATACCAGAAAAAAGGTCACACCTTCTGCGCAGCCTTAAACAACATGTGTCAGCCATGCTACAAGAAACACATCTCAGACCAGACACGAACAAATTACTCTTCATTAAGGGTGCGATAGCACATAAAATATATATATTTGCCACAGTGTACACGCCGAACAGTGGCCAAGCCAGCTTTCTCAGGAGAACACTGACAAAGTTTTCCCGATTCACGGAGGGCACCCTCGTACTGGGAGGTGACTTTAATGTTCCCTTGGATCCAAGGGTGGACACCTCCATGGGGCATAGCAGCGTACCAGCAGTGACAATAAAGACAATACACAAAGCCCTCAGAGACATGAGGCTGGTGGATACATGGAGGGCATTCCACCCACAGGGAAGAGACTACACATATTAGTCCACTGTCCACAACAGGTACTCCAGAATTGATTATATCCTTGTGCAACAAGAAGGACTCACGTACGTACAGAGAACAGACATCCTCACCACGCTGTGGTCAGACCACAGCGCAGCACAGAAGACCATGGCATCACCTCTGTTCCGATTGACTAGAACAGCGTGGCGGCTAAATGATTCCTTGTTGACGGACGCGGTGACGAAGGCAAAGATTGCAGAACACATAAATCAGTACTTTGAAGAGAACAGCACTGAAGACATATCACCCATGATGTTATGGGAAGCTCATAAAAGTGTGCTCAGAGGCCACCTTATCCGCGTGGCTACCCAAAGTAAGAATGAGACCAGTCAGCAAATCGGGGAGCTCACAAGACAGATCTCCAATTTAGAAACAGCACACAAACTAGACCAACACTCTGACCTACAGAACCCTGATAGCGACCAGGAGGCAGGTGACAGAGCTTCTCGAATGCAGACATGCAAGAACAATACAGTGATCACACGCGTTCTTCTATATGCACGCCAGCAAAGGAGGCAAACTACTAGCACAGATGCTGAGAGGTACACACTCTGAGAACCACGTGCAATTTCCGGAGGAAATCGCAGACTAATTCAAAAGGTTTTACACAAAACTGTACAATACAAATGACGAAGAAGGAGGACTTCCACTAGCCACAAAATTGAGACACGACAGACTACCTGGGGAACTTCCAACCGAAAGCCCTCACGCCGGCAGAACTTGAAACTCCAGTCACAGAAGGGGTAATCAGACTAGCACTAAAAGAAGCGAAAACAGGTAAAGCAACGTGGCCAGAAGGTTTCCCTGTGGAATATCTTAAGAAATTCGGACACATCCTCATAGCACACCTTACTAGGGCTCTAAACAGCCTTTCACAAGGAGGCCCTGGCCGCAACAATAGCGGTGATCCTGAAGCCGGGCAAGAACACCGAACAGGTCGGAAACTACCGCCCAATCTCACTCCTCAATGCAGATGTCAAGCTGTTTTCAAAGGTTCTGGTGAAGAGAATACAGACCTATATGGCAAGACTGGTACATCCAGACCAGACTGGCTTTATACCTGGCTGCGAGGCCAGGGATTGCACCCTAAGGTTATTTGCCATACAACATTTATCAAAAAAAAAATGGAGACGAAGCTACTACTGCTGTCGACAGATGCTGAAAAAGCCTTCAACAGAGTAGATTGGAACTTCACGACGGAGACACTATGCGCGACAGGTATAGGAGATGGCATGCTCACATGAATCACAGCACTTTACAACCAACCAACTGCCAGAGTCAGAGTGAATGTGGCCCTCACCGACAGCTTCAACATTAAAAACGACACAAGACAGGGCTGCCTGCTGCCACCCTGGTGCTCGCCTTCACCCTGGAACCGCTACCGGATCGCATCAGGAAAAATTAGGATAACGGGTCTGCGATATAGAACGCATGAACACAAAATGGCCACATACGCGTATGACATGCTTTTCTTCCTCGAGAACCCACTAACCACCACACAGCTAATGTCGGAATTCAAAACATACAGACGCTTGTATGGACTCAAATTGAACATCACTAAATGCGAAATCTTAAACGTCACGGTTCCTGAGGAGGAATGCGCACAGCTAAAAAGGCAATTTCCTTTCCACTGGTGCCCAGAACGAATGAAATATCTTGGGCTGTGGGTCACACGCGTGGAAAAGGACATCTACGCCCACAACCACATACCCCTATTAAAGACCATCCTCTGGGACCTCAAAAGATGGAATTACCCCCACATATCTTGGCTGGGTTGAATCGCGGTGGTAAAGATGAATGTTTTACCCAGGCTACTCTACATATTTCACACGGCTCCACAGGTGATACCGCAAACATTCTTCACAACACTCAAAACGGCAATCACACAATACATATGGAGAGGAGAGAAGGCCCGCATTGGCCATGACAAACTCTGCCTACTAAGAAGCTGGGGGGGACTAGCCCTACCTGACATCAGACGATACCACCAGGCAACAGTACTGCAGAGACTCAAGGAACTTCACACGGACAAGCCTAACAAAAGATCTGTAACACTCTGGAGAGACACCAGTGATAAAAGACTACATACACTGATATGGCATAGAGAAGCGGACGCACAGGTATTATTGGGGGAGGAATCCCCTCTCATGCACACCCTGAGACACTGGAATACGTTGAGGAAAGGACAGCAGATCTCGCCCAAACCCAGCCTGTTGATACCCATCACATACAACCTAGATGACAGCCTCCCACCGGATGGATAACCAAGATGGATACATACCCATATACGCAACTCTAAGCAACACAGGAGTGAAACCACTGCGAGAAATTACGCTGATACACCAATTCCATTACGCCCAACTGACACAGTTCTACCACAATCTAGCACACAGAGCCAAAATACATAGGGACCTCACATGGTTCGAGACCCTATGCACACAGACACCAGGTACAGAAGGGAGGGTCTCCACGATATATCAAAGCATACTGACAGGACACCGAACCGATAACACCTTATACAAAAGGCAATGGGAGGAATGGACGAAGGAATCCTTCTCGGATGCCCAGTGGGAAAAGATTTTTATACTGCAACACACAAGCTCCACTGGCTCCCACTACCAGGAAGTAAACTACAGGCTACTCACGCACTGGTCTCACACACCCTCCCTGATTAACCGCTACACTCCAACAATCCCAAACATCTGCTGGAGATGCGGAAATGGCCCTGGAACCTTGAAGCACATCTGATGGGACTGTGACAAAATAAAACAGTACTGGGGGAACATTGAACAGGAAATTGGACACATCTTAGGTGACCCCACAGAGCTGACAATGGGGGCTGCCCTCATACACCACACAGAACGAGCCATACCCTCGTACAAAAAGTCAATCCTGAGACACCTGCTAAATGCGGCTAAATCCTTAATCCCATTGCACTGGAGGAAAGAACATATACCCACAATGGAAGAATAAAGTAGAAGACATAAGAATGGCAGAAGCCAAAATAGCAGGGACACAGAATTATGGACGCCCTGGATATTGTATATCACTTAAGACATGACACAGAAAGAGAGGCCCAACTGAGAGAGACTGGAACGAACACAAGAGAGGGGCCCAGACGTGCCACGGGGGAGACAGACAGACCCCTTCCCTCCCCTCAAGGGGAGAAGCTATCCACACACATAACATAAAGGTAAAGTAACGAGAGCTATCACACTAGAAGCAGATATGGAATAAGAGTAGAGCGGAGAGACACAAACCACGGAGCACACAAAGAGGCAACACTCACAAGAAACACACACTGGGCAACCAATGGAAACATAGCAAAAAAAATGAACAACTACAGACATGCAAAAAAGCTCTTACCAAACCACACAACAGATCGAGGGAAAAGGATATGCAGTAAGACTCGAAACAAGTGACAAGATATACAGACAACACAGCAAAACACGACATCAGACCCACTTACACTAATGCTAACATAAACCGACTCACACCAGCAAACAGGCACATGGCTTGACAGAAGACTGGGCCAAGGAGATGTAGATTACTAAAAGTGAAACGGAGAAAAACACTAGCGGATATTCCACCCCTTCCATGGTAAAGGGCCTAAGTGACACGGGAGTACGCACACAAGCACCCAAACTAAAAGGGGTAGCATAGGCACACCATGGACTGAACAGGGATCGACACTATGGCATGGGGGGGGGGGGTAAGGGAAAAAAAAATAGAGGGACAGACTGACCACATCCATAATAACGAGCAGTGGCGTGCCAGGCAAAACATAGCAACATACTGCATGGATGGCATAGGCCACACGAAACAATAACCCAAGCACCCCC